AACCTACTGGCTCACTGATCCTAACGGCAATCCTGATATCCTTGATTTTTTCATCCACAGTGGTTTAGGTCCCCTCAATCATTCCCTTACCCATTATGATGAACTTTCCTTAGATCATAATCCATTAATACTTCAATTATCAATAGCTCCTATTCCTAAATCATCTCCACCATCCTTCATCAGTAAACGATTAAAGCAGGAATTGGCTATCTTCAGATCCCAATTCTTCAACTCCTACCTTATTTCCCTCTCTTTTCATGACAATTCCCTATGGAAGATAACCAAAAAAATTCCTAAAATCCCATCATATTTTCCACCTTCTCCGTCGATGCAATGGCTCTCCCTGGGCAGCGCTTGATGAAGACAAAGCTGAGGAATTCACCAGACTTCTCTCCAGAACATTCACCTCTCATCCGGAATCCAACCCCACCCATACCACAACATTAGAAAAATTCCTTACATCACCCATTCCACTCTCCTTACCTCCTAAAGCAGTTAATCCTTCTAAGGTCAAACATCACTTAGAAAAACTAACTACCCATAAATCTCCTGGATATGTCCTCTTTACCACTCAAATCCCCCCAAAACCTCCTCTTAGAGCTATTATATTTCTCACTTACATATATAATACTATCCTACGAACTACCCACTTTCCTCTTTTGAGGAAACATTCCACTGTTATCCTATTTCCAACACCAGGCAAACCTCCCAGCACCTTGACTTTCTACAGACCAATTAGCCTACTTCCAATCCTCTCACAAATCCTTCTGAAACGAATCCTACCCTTTATAGAATCCCAAAATCTTCATTCCCATCAGTTCGGATTTCATTCACAACACTCCACAGTCATACAAGGACTCAGAGTGGTTCCATATTTCCGCAGCGCTGAAAAGCAAGCAATATTCCTCGGGTGCATTTCTGGACATAGCTCAAGCTTTCGACCGGGTATGGCACCCCATGGCTTGTTTCCAGGCTGAAAACCCATTTACCTCAGTCCTTGTACCTAGTCCTCCGGTCCTACCTCTCTGATCACACCTTTCTAGTTCGCTGCAATTCAGAATTTTCCAATTCCGTTGAAGCCGGTGTTCCTCAAGATAGTGTTTTGAGCCCCGTCCTTTATATGCTATTTACTGATGATATCCCTGTCCATCCCGATACCTTCCTGGCTACATTTTCTGATGACACTGCCATCCTATCATCTAACTTAGATCCCGGAATAGCATCCTTAAATCTGCAAGGATACCTCTCCCTGATTAAATACTGGTGTAATAAATGGAACATTAAAGTAATCAAATCCAAATGCAAATGCATTATCTTCATACTCCAGTGCACACCAGTCCACCGTTCCTGGACATTCATGTTTGAGTTCTGGTAATGGCCAGATTCTCCCCTCAAGACATGATTGTATGTGGCTAAAGCACTCTCGCTCAATCTCCACTGACTTTAGCACCAGTGACGCGGTTGAGAGAGTAAAGCAAGGATCTCTTGGAGTACTGCTTTTCCCTCTATAGTAAGAGGGACAAGCCTGGCTTGGGGTTCCCTGCCTGATTGTATATAGGTATGATTGTGTTTTTAATTTACTTATCATTAATTATTTTATTTTTTATTGCATATACTTTTTGATTATTATTTAGTTGTTATTTTGCTTTTGTTTATTTTATGTTTTCTGTATATATGGTGTGAATGTGTTAATATCTCACTATAATTATTGTTAGTGTGACAGATTGTTATATTTCTGAATAAATAAATTTAAAAAAAAAAATAGTTGGTCATGAACTGTGTATAAGAACACAAACAAAATGGAAATGGTTTCAGGGATAAATCATCAGCAAGCTAATATAATTAATGAAAACAATTACATACAATACTGTATGATATAGAAACTGATGTATTAATATTAAAAATTAAAAAAAAACAACTAAGTTCTAGCAAAAATACTTTTGAAACATTTGTCATAATTTAAGAAATAAAGAGAAAATTAAGCAAGTATTTAATTAAGACATGAACAATTAATTTTTTATGTGAAGCATAGCAAAACTCTGTCATTGAATAAAACTACCAAAGAAGCTTATGTATTAAAATTTATTATGTTTACAGCTTAAAATCCATGTATTTAACTTTAAAAGACTAGAAAAATAAACATTTCAAAATTACTAGAATAAATAATTTTATTTAACAATGCAAATATTGGATTTTCTGATAAAGATAATCATGTATATAACATATTGCTTAATCATATCACAAAATTAATTCACAATTTGAACTATCTAAATTATAAAAATAATTATATAAAAACTAAGTTTTAATTTTTTAACAAGGAACTTAAGCTTAAGTTTTTTGACATTTATTATTTTTAATTGAAATCACAGCGTATTAACCCAAGTCATTTCTTAACTACTACTACTTCTACAACTAAGTTAGAACATAAGAAATATTTTCATTTATATATATGTAATGCACTATATATTGTGTACAAAAATATATATCTATTTATATTTAATAGTCTTATTTAATTAAACAATTAATAAGTCTGTAAATCTAATCAATGTTCGAAAGTGCACTTGAATCATGATTCTCTGAATATTGCTAAGAATGTTGTTTAAAAAGGGGCTATAACAATTCAAAATTATTATGTAGACCAATTCAACTAATAAAAGTAAAATTTTCTTATATTCAATAGAATCAATGGACAAGATATGATTTTAAGATCACATTAGTGGATTTTATCAATTACATTTTAAAGAAACAAGAAATGTCTGGCACTCTTATGCATCCCTTCTTAAATGCAAATATTCTGATCATTAGAATTAGAATAAAATCAAACAGGCGGATACTAGAATATCTGAATTAAGACCCATAAATGCAAAAATACAATCAAACCAGAGAGGATGGACAAAGTATTGTCACAGGATCATTTTGGAATTCCATAATAATACAAAACAAAGAACTAACTTTTTTTCTTTACAAGATTTTCAAATTTACTAAATCAAGGAGTTTATAAATCTAATTCCAAAGTTAATAACTATAGCATTTTAATAATCACAATTATTTTTTAAATATCTTTTCAAATATTATAACACACCAGTTTGTCACATAAATTCAAAGAAATATTCCTGATCAAATATTTTTAGTTAAACAACTAATCTTTAACTTTTACAATGATAAAAAAGATAATTATAATGTGTATGTTAGGGATTGAAAGTTCAATTAATTTAAAATAAATCTAAATAACCAATTATTTTTTAAATTAAATTTCCTCTTATTTTATGTCTTAAGATTTTTTTTATTGATATCTTACATAGAGAATTAATTAAGGACAGAATTAGAATTTCATTATCATTAAAAAAATTAGTAAATAAAAGAAAATAAGTAATAATTTACTGCATTCAACCTTATTTTGTTAACTGTGAATTAAGTTGTTAACTTAAATCTGAATGGCACTAAATACGTTGTCATAAAATAAGACAATTTTATTTTTTTAAAAATAAGAAAAACCAGAATCAACCAAGACAAAGGCACTTATAGTTTGTTCTAAAAATAAACTTTTTTTCCAGCATCTTTACAAACAAGTAATAATATTCGTCAGTATGAAACATGAGATCACTAAGGAACATTGCATGGAAAGAATATTCCCTAAAACAGGTTTTCATCATGAAACCTCAGGTTCTGGCTTAAGGAAGAACTTAAAACTAAAAATATTTTTTTTAAAAAATAGCATAGTTTCAAAAATAAATACAAAAACCAAGAACTATTCCATCAGACTTATTATTTATATAGTAAAACAATGAAAACTTCATTATTCAAAAATATTACAACCATTAAAAAACTAGGCCCATTTATAACATATTACTTTCAGGTCACTTGCATAATCATAGAAATATTTTGTAATGCTAAAAAAATCTACAACTAACACTTATATCATTCCATAAATCTATTAAATAAAATTTTCACTACTAATTCATAAACTACACACAAAACTGTTGAATAAAAGAAATCCAGTTTATTCATGGTTATTTGTAATCAATAATGTAATATACATATGTTTAGATAAATAACATGACATACATATGTTCAGATAAATAACATATATGTATGTTCCAGTTCCTGCTACGGACTACACTATCATAAAAAAAAAAAAGGTTTACTTTCTTCCAATGAAATTAAATTCGAAATCTTCTTACTCTATACCAGGAGTCCCCACCAGTTATCTAGCTGGTGGTACTTTTTTATAAGTCACTAGTTAAGTAAGTGGTGGGCAACAACTTTATTTTTTAATTTTTCTCGGTTTTTACATAATTGAATATTGTTAATAATATTTTATAAAAATAATAATTTTAATTTGTAAAAATTATTTATTGCTTTCTCAACTTTATTTATTTATTCTTATAAAAAAAAAATAATGACGGATAAGAAATGTTTAGAAGATGTAAAATTATATAAATGACAATGCAAATGTGATTTTTTACTCTTCATTTCATTGACCATTGTTTTATGATGCGGGGAATATAACGATAATTTAATATTTAATTTATGCAATCTGAGATAACATTGAAAACAAAAAAATTGAAATAATGGAATAAGAGGAGCTCATATGAGTATATAACCAAGTATAAAACACATTGAACTTAATATTACCAATAATAAACAATAACACGGATAAACAGAAAAATACCAGAAAAATGCTGTTATAAATAAATTATCACTTTCAAATAAATATGCTTATATTTCTAATTAATTAGGGTAGACCTTGTTTAATTTGAAGTTGAAGGGACCACTGAAAAATTTTGAACTATCCAAGATTTCAAATGAAACAGGTTTATCTATAAAAAGCCCATTGTGATTATTGAGTCCACCGATGTCCCCTTTATTGATTTTGGAGAGACATCCTTTTCTTCACAACACGTATGTCCAATAATAAAACAAAACTATTGCATATATATATATATATATATATATATATATATATATATATACTTTTAAGAATTAAGAATTTACATAGCATTTTAAGTAAAATTCTAAAAGTAAAGTTAAATAAATACAAGTATGTATAATTAATTACATCATGAAATTCATTTAAAAATGTCAACTGAAGAGACTGAAGATTTTATCAATACAATATGTGATCCATTTAACTATAAACCAGTTAATATTTACAAATGTTGTAATCTTCTGGTATTGATAGATGAACTGGTGAAACAATAGTGAAGGTTATATTATTTGTTTTCTCACAAAAATAAATTATTAGTTTGTGGAATAGTAAAAATCAAATTATCTATAATTTAAAAAAAAACAAGGGGTTGAAACAAGTTTAAATTATCCACAATTTTAAATTCAAATTGTGTGACTAATTCATTCGACTGTATTACAGATTAAAAAAATGTAAACAAAAATGTCATTGAAAACTCATTGAACAGCAGCAGGCCACAAAAAATAATGGTGATCACTGGGATAGATTATGTCCTGAGGCCACAATCGTACCCTTGGGCTCATGTGACATCAAGCCGGCACAGGAATGAGGACTCCTACTCTACACCAAATCACAGCCAATTATTTGCAAAACAAATGAGAAAAACTTACTTTATTTCAACATTAGTTGTGATAAAGAATCTACCCTAAAATTTAATTTCAACTCATCCATCACTTTAATTTACAATTATTATATCAATCTTTTTATAAGATGCAAATTATAAATTGTTCTTATCTATCAATTGCCTATCAGTTGGTCCTGTGACTTAGATATGATACAATTTTACCATTCACAATTAAAATAACTAATTTTTGTACTATCGTAATGAAGGGTCTAGCATTTCAATAAAAAGTTTATTCATTACTATGTTTCCATCTCTATGAATATTGGACCAAAACTTTCTTAGTACTCCATCAGCTTGCCTTAACGCTGGAAGGCAAAGCAAAATGTTCGATGTGTCTCTACTATTCCCCCTAGCAACAAAAATGAAAAGTATAATAAGAATAATGATGAGATATACAGAATAATGATGGTACAATAAAATGGGAAAACTTTACAACCTAGACGGGTAACATTACCCTAAGACCATAATCATTTCCAGTTTTATAAGAGAAGATATTCCCAACTAAGTCACTCCATTAGTTTTGTTTATATCATCAAGATAGTTATTGTTCTAGTTTTGAAGGAATGTTAAACCCAAGGTGTAAAGTTCCCCCATTCGATGGTATATAATGATGAGAAATTTATAAACATGTAAAATAATAGAGGAATAATTATCTTTTGGCTGATATTTCATATATAAATTTTAAATTTATTTTCAAAACTATGAAATGTTCAATATAAATAACTCGTATAAACCAATGATATCAATATTATATTTGTAAGAGGGTGAAACAAATATAAACAGTAATTACTAAATACATTAACTGATTACTGCTACACGCAAACCATACTTTCAGCATTTCTCAATGTAGCCTCCTAGATGATCACTTTTAACAACAATTTGGAAGCTTGGATATTCCTTGTCGAAAGAAAAGTTGTTAGCCAGTTGCAGGCATGCTCTTTGAATTTATTGCTTTTGAATAAATCATTCTTTCAAGGAACCACAAAAAAAAAAAAAAAAAATAGTGACAAAGAGAAACAACATTATAAGAACTGTTCAAGGGTTTTCCAGTCCATTTCTTCTAATTTATCGCTAGTCAGGATTTGTGAGGCCTGGTAGTTATCACGGAGAAGGATGACATCTCTAACAACCATACCTTGTAATTGTTTCGTTACAAGGTTTTCAAGAGGCTTTCCTGTAACAGCTGCCAATAGTAAGCCCCATTCACTTTTCATTTATTAGCAAGAAAATCAACAAGTAAAACTCCCTTATGTATAAAAAGTCATTGCAAAAACTTATCGAGCTAAAATCTATTTTCTGCACCTTCTTCCCCCATACTTGAAGCTCAATCTCAGGCACTTTTCTGGGAAGATAACAAACACTGTGGGATCATCAGACCTTAAAAGGCAAAAGTAACTAGACCAACGTTTCTGGTGTACTAAAAAAAGAAATATCACAGCAAAATATTCATAAAACAAACTTGGACATTAATACATACATACCTTATCATTGTAACGCAGTTCACTAAGGCATTTATAATAGATTCACGGAATTGTAGCAATGGATCAACTTCATCCAATCTTACATCCGAATTTGCGAGAACAAGGGCTTTCAGCAGTAAAAATTCTTCCTTGCAAATTAAAGTTTGCTGTAATCTTTCCATAATAGAGACACACTAAAATATAACAATCCTTTTCATAAATACATACACATGTATGAATGTAAAATTTTAAAAATAATCATGACATTTAATTTTAGTTTAGCAACTAATTTGGCTTAACACACTGAGTGCTAATATTGAACATGCCGAGCAAATAGTGAAGAGTGTTCAACATTTTACCCACTTATTTAAACAAGGCATAGAAAATTATAGCACTAAATTATGTTTGTTAATAGCCACTAGCTTCAGTGAGGTATTTTAAAAGCTGTAGAAACCATTAAACAAGAGTGACTCATCAGTTTATTAATTTTTCTTTAATTTCCCCCAGAAATGAGAGTAAGATAATAATAATTCAATTTTTTAATAAAATCTGTTCTTATCAAGTATAAAAAGGAAAATCCTTTCTTCAAAAATCCTTTAATTAGTTATGATAGAAAACCCATCCATTTGTCAGAAGTGTGGAGAGAGAATGATGGTGGTCCATATCTTCGAGAGTTGTGCCTATTACATTAGAGAATTAAACAAAAGAGAAATACCAGCAAATAAATCGGCTGCTTTGGGAAATGATGAAAAAATCTTGAGCAAAATCATATGTTTTCTCTCTGAGGAAGGAATCTTTGGAAATCTCTGAACCTCTCACATAGCACTCCCCACCTCTTTTTTCTATTTTTTTTTAATATAGATTTTTCTTTTATTTTACTTAATGTACTAACTTTAAATAACTAAACTTTAATAACCATAAACAACTTTAAGCTAAACGTGCATTTTACATCTTTTTAATTTATCTAATTCCTAATATTCACAACTAGATGATATAATAATATATAATTTTAATTAGAGACATTGATGACCAACAGGTTTTACGCCTTTACTATACAACAACCAACCAACCTTTCTTTATGGCTATTATTTTTTAGTTTAATTTTATTTTTATTAGATGTTATACTTTAATTTTTTCCATTAACAATAGTTATGACGATAATAATGAACATTTTTTTCTAAACTCCAATTAAGTACTGTTGGGTTCTCTTCGAATTCTAATAACCTAAAGAGTGTTAGTTTTTTTTTAGTTTGTACTGGAGTGTGTATGATTTTTATTTCCACATCATATTAAATAATTTGTCATATATTTTAATCTATAACTTTTGAATGACATTTTTATTGCATTATTTTACAAATCTTTTAATCCTTTGACTGCAGACAGGATACATGCCTTCCTGTTAAGAGTTGGATCACTGGTGCGGGTGGAATATATGCCTTTCCGGTAGTGAGTTGGGTCACTGGTGCGGCCAGGATATATGCCTTCCTGCTTGAGCGATCACCATTTAAACAGGTGGGGGCAAATCCCGCCTTCACCATTTAACTTGTGGCTTGGTCGGTGCATTCATTAGTCCCCTGTACCTAACGACCATTTGGAAGTTATCAGTTGCAGATTTACTCTTAACCCAAGGTACATTATTTCTCTGTTATTTGTGTCATATCCATGATCTTATTCATATTCTATTTAAATGTTTTATAAATAAAATAAATGTTAATAAGTTAATTTTATAATTTTTTTTTTAAGAGTTCGGCTAGTAAGAGCCGGTGAGAAAGAAAGATCGGCTCCACGTCATCATTGTCTATGATTGGGTATTTTTTGTCCAATTGAGCTGAAATTTTGCACCTAGGCGGAGCTGTGTGTTAAAGACCTGTATATGAAATCTTATGAAAATTGAGAAGAGATATTGGCCAGGATCAGAAGGCAACCAAGTTGATGTGTTTGTAGGACCGGAATTCTTATCGCTGTGCAGCCTGGTACTTGTCAGCCCCCACCACCTGCAGCAAGGTCAGTGTCGTCTTATCGATACAATCATCGAAGGAGCCAAACTAATTTTACTGTTACCTAGTTTATATATTCGATCCCTTTCTCTCATAAAATACAATAAGAATAATGTTTGTTATCATAATTTATTATTTCTATGACGTTTTAAATCAAATTATTAAAGTAGGCCAATATATGTAAAAAATATTTAATTTATTATTGGGGAATTGATTTTTTTTAAATTCTTTAATGATCTTATATTTTATATTTTATTTTATACTCTAGACAATATATTAAATTTACTAATGTGATGTGCATATGTGTATATATATTGTTGTTTTTTTAGATTTTAACTTCTTAAATTTTATTTTTGATTTTTAGGCAATTATTTTTATTGTTTTATTTATTAATTTTTTGAGATTTTAATTTTTTAACAGTTTATTGATTTTATATAGTAACTCATTTTAGGTAATTATTTTTTAGATTTTAACTTTTTAACTTCTTTAGATTTTAACTTTCACTTATTTTTAGGCAATTGATGTTTTTAAATTTTATCTTTTTACTGACTCTATATTGTAACTTATTTATAGGCAATTTATTTGATAGATTTAAACTTTTTAACCCTTTACTGATTTTATATTCTAACTAAATTTTTTTAACAATTTATTTTATAGACTTTTAACTTTTTGCTTATTTATTTAATTATACATTTCACACTCCTTTAACAGATTGTTTCAATCATGCGCATGGTGGGCATAGTCTCGAATGAAAAAATAATACTGAAATGATGAAGTAGGACAAAAGGTATGGGTTCTGAGAACTAGAGGACCATTTCAAGAGGCGGTTGTTGCCTCTGTGATGTCTGTGGCTACTGCAGGAAGCGGAGAGAATACATTTGTTAAAGTAGAATGGCCCGACACAGAAGGTGTGTAATTGGGAAAGACGGTGTCGATAGGCGATGTCTTTCCCATTTTGCTAAATGGTCAGCAGAATGTCGCAGAGGTACATATTGAGCGGCAAGATTAAGCTCAACGCCCTGATGATAAAGTTTGTTCAATATGTGGGCTTTCTTTTAAGGGCGAACGAGGTCTCGGAACCCATATTGCAAAAAAACATCCCAGGGAGGCGAATAACAATACATTGAGGGGCATAGTGAAGAATGTGATAGGTCCTAGAAATGGAAAGGGTGAGACATCAAAAATAAAAGAGGACATTGTTGGATGGTCTACTATGTTCAAGAATCTATCAAAGCAAAATATGCTAAATACTGCGGATCTTTATGTAGGCAAGTATCTAAAGTTTCTCAAAGTTATCAATGAGGAACTGCCAGGTCCCCAGCACCCAGCCGTCAAATTTTATAGGATGAGGAAAAAAAATAAAATGAAAATAGCTGACAAGGGTGCTCGACAAGTTTCAAATCCGCAGAGAGCAAACAAAGTAGACAAGGGTCATCGGCAAGAGCAGTATCAATATGAGGTTGCTCAATATAATTACTACAACAAAAGAAAAAAGGATGTGCAAACTGTAATGAATGCCAACGCTCCTAAATGATGTCCTCTAAATATGGCCGAAATCGAGAGGCATTATAAAGACCTCTTTGAAAGCGAAAATCTCTGCGGGCGTGCAGATTACGAATAGTGTGCTCCGATGCCAAATTTGCAGTCCATTGAGCTAGAAGCTGTCAGAAAAGCCATTAAGTCAACATCAATAGACACATCGCCGGGGCCTGAGGAGTTCTGATCAGCACAATCAAATATTTTGACATATCAAATATTATCAAAACGATTGCAGAGATAATGCTGAAGGTGGCCTATGTCCCAGAACCACTTCGACAGGGACACACAATATTAATATATAAGAGCAAAGGTGATATAAACAATATCTCTAACTGGAGACCGATCACCATATATTCGATTGTGCGCCGAATCATAGAGAAGGTTCTGGACCACGAATTAAGAAAGCAGGTCACCTTCCACAAGAATAACAGAGGCTTTATAAAAGGCCTCCCGGGAACGTATGTCAATGCAAGGATTATCGAAGCAATATTAAAAGATGCACAAAAAATGAAAAATGATTGTGCGATAGTTTTCCTCGATGTTGTCGGTGCTTTTGACAATGTTGGCCACAAACACATCGTAAGCTCCTTAGAAGCGAGAGGTGTGTCACCAAATATTAAAAATGTCATATCAGCTCTCCTTAGCACGAACACTATAAAGATTAGTAATGGTGTCCATGCAACTAGCCAGATCAAAGTGCTACGCGGTGTACCCCCAAGGCGGCCCCCTCTCGTCTTAAATCTTCAACCTGGCCATCGACCATCTCTACCACGACCTGTGCTATGAGGACTTTTCCAAGAAATTTGGATATAAATTAAGAAAAGACAAAGATTGTGTGGTCCTCACAGGTTTCGCGGATGACTAGGCTGTGTTGGCGCGAGAAAAGGGGGCTGCAGAAAGAGTGATTGACAGTATACAGAGGACATTTCAAGAAACTGTTTTGGCTATAAATCCTCAAAAAAGCACGGGCATCGTTATAATAAAGGAGAGCTGGAAACTGTGGTGCTCTCCCTCAAGAATGGAGAGTACATCCAAACATTGAAGTATGGAGATACGATTAAGTATTTAGCATGTACATTCTCGGGAGAGCTACAATTCAACGAAGATTCGGTGACTAAATTGAATGATAACCTATACAAGCTGGTAACCTGTTGCTTGATTAAACCTGAGCAGAAACTCAACATTGTCAATCAATATCTGTTCCTGGGTCTTACTTACCCTCTCCAAACTGCGCCGCTCACAAAGCTGCGTCCTGCCATACTGGAGGGCATCGACACTATGATTCACAGGAGCTTAAAGGCCATTATTAGATTCCTTGCGAATACTTCCACGGCGATGCTATTTGCCCCCAGGAGATACCGAGGATTAGGATTAATCCGCTGCCAATGGGAGGCTCCTCTTAAACATTGGTCTATTGCTCAGCAACTGTCCAATGTACCAGATGCCCTTTTTCAATCTACCTTCGATTATTCAGCTGAAGTTGTTGAATGTGCCGAGAGATTGGGGGTTGATCAGGATCATCAAAATGTGAGAGCTCTATGCAGTCGCTACGAGAAAATTCATTTGAGGAATGGGCTAACTGCAGGTGGTAGGGTATTAGTGTTCGCCATTTTAAACAGACCTTGAAAGCAAACAGATACATCTACGAAAAGCAAGTACTTTCTGGGTCTGAATGGTTGAATGGCCTAAAACTAAACATTAATTATGCACCCCTGCGTGGAGTCCCAGGTGTCAGCGGACAGGTCAGAGAAGGTGGGTCCCTCTGCCGTAAATCCGGCAGAGAGTCTGCCGTTTTTATAATGGCAAAAATAGAGAAAATTGTGAAAACCGAGAAAATGGCGAAAATGCGGTAATAGGGGAAAATGCGAAAGTTAAGAAAAATTTAAAAATCTTTTTTATCCCATTTTTTTTATAAAACTAAGAAATTGATTAAAAGGGCTAAAATCATGAAAATAATTAAAATAACGAAAATGTGCTAAAACCGCAGACATTGCGAAAAATACAGAAACAGTGTTACTGGTGAAAATGATGAAATGTTTAAAAATCTTCTACTGAACTACTGAATTTATTCCAATTTCTTATAATGGTGATCGAGTGATTCGCGATGATGGCGAAAACCACAAAAAAAGCAAAAATTATGAATGATCATTTGAACTACTGAATATATTCCTATTTTTTTATATGGTAATAATTTGTTTCTTCTTAATTTTTCATCAAAACATGGGTGAAAAAGAATATAAATGTGAAATAATTAGATGAAATTATAAAAATTGTGAAATATGTGACAATACTGAAAACGGCGAAATTGATCAAAACGGCAAAAACCACGAAAGTAGTAATGAATTATTTAAAAATCTTTTAAATTACGGAATTTATTCCAATTTTTCATGACAAAAATCTATATTTCTAAAAAAGATATCTTCTTTTTACTGTCACAAAAATTTATATATATTGTAATATACACCTTAATTCAAAGTTGTTAAAAATTATTAAATAAATTAATGTAACAGTTAAAAAGCAAGCTAATCTGTAGTTTCACCAGTTCAGGTAAAAGAGAATGGCTGCTCTGTAGTTTCCCCAAAAAGGAAAATTCCAAAGAGGGAACAAAGGATTTTGTTTTGGCAAGCAGTTGTAGTGTGGCTGCAGTGAAGAGAGGATGGGAGAAGGGATCCTGGCTCCAGTGGGTAAAACCCAATTATAGTATTTCCATCTTGGAAGTTGTGTGGCTGCAGTGTAGAGTATAGGAGTAGGGATCCTGGCTCCAGTGGGTAAAATCCACTAATAGTAATGGTTCGGTATGGCGGTCATAAATAGACTAAACAGTGGCAAAATTATTTTATTAAAAGCCAATGTTTCGGCCCGACTTTGCAGGTCTTTTTTAGGGAGGTGTGTTCAGCTAGGAGTTTCACTTAAAACTCGTCAGTTCTAGGTGAAACTCCTAGCTGAACACACCTCCCTGTAGAAGACCTGCAAAGTCAGATCGAAACGTTAGCTTTTAATAAAATAGTTTTGCCACTATTTAGTCTATTTATGAATGCCACGCCGGACTGTAAATAATAATAGTTTGTCTGAGTTGATCTGATTGTCTGTAACCCATACCTGAGATAAAATAATTATAAATTTCAATTTAATATATTAATACTCTTATAATTGTGTTTATTATTTAACAAACTCTTATTTCTTTAGGGAGTATCCCAAAAGTATAAAGTGATCTTCCGAGGTTATATTATTTGTAAAATATAAGAGAGATGTTCCAGTATAAAAAAATGCTGTGTTTTGGGAGGAAAATTTCTATTCATTTTCCGTGTTTCGGGAAATTCCCGGTCGTTGGACACCTGGACAAAAGTAGCAAGAAATTAACTAAAGCTGAGAAAATGTCATTTCCATTTTGTACATTCTTCTGTTTTATTTGCATAAAGATTATAATTTTTTTTATTCTGTTAATAACTAAAAGGTTTTGTAAAAACAATAATTTATTATCAACAAAACAAAACATACATTGATTTAAACATTAACAGTTGATTATTAAAGTTATCAGTTAGTTATCAATTGATTTAGTCAAATAAGTTTAATATTACTTATTTTTATTAATTCGCTCCAGTGTAAATAACCTGTTAAAGTTAAAGGTAAATAATTTGTTTTGGCGGGAATAGGCGAATAGCCTTCCGCTTTTATCGGGGAACTAGGTTATTTACACTCATGAATATTAAAACGAAATCCCGGCACTGGATATGGACTTTTTGAGGGTGTTTAACTGTTGTTGGGAATTCGGGAATCTAATACCTTTTGTGACACTGAGTGAGAAGAAACAATAAGAATATATACATGAAATGTGGAACTTAGTAAATAAACTTTGAATGAATTGACTCACCTTGTTTATTACTCTTCAATTGTGAGGCCTATAGGACAACTAAATAAAAGGACTATTCACTCCTGTCTAACAAAACAATTTATTTTGACCACTGTAATAAATTAATGTATAAAAGTCTTATAACTGTAGGCTTGATATTCTTAGTCTTCAATGTAGTAAGCCTCTCTTCCCAGATGACGTCTTCTCGTCTTCGTGTCTATGCTTCAAGTGCCTTCCTTCTCTCCAGTTGCTGCTACCTGACCGGACCTTTTTCCTTCATCATCGATTGTTTATCAATATGAGACTTTTCAATAAACAATTTGTTCACTGCACAATTGAGTACAATTCACAGTGCAACCTCACATTCCTATATATCATATATTCCTTCTCATTCCCTCACACAATGTCACATAAAGGAGTAAATACTGGGGAATGTCTACTACACCAGGGTAGCATAAAAAAATATTTTCCCTGATTCTGATATTACACATTTATTGAAAATAAGTCATATTTTGAGAAAAGTTTGTTATCTTGGAATCATTAATTATAGAGAACTCCATCAGGGCTCATCTTGAGGCACTCACATTAAATACACTTTCCATATTTGGCAAAATAAAGTCACAAAATTGAGTTATTGTTATAAAAAAAGTTATTATTTGAAAACTGTATTTTAGTAACTGATAAACATACAGAGTTGTATTAGGGTTCAAATTTATGCATTAAGTTGTTTACAATACATTGAACGCTGAATAAAAAATTAAAGTTTTTCTTGAATAAAATGAGCTTCTTGAGGCGTACCAAAGTTGGGAATTTTGATATTTAATGTCATAAACTACTAAAACTTATACTTTGTTTATTTTTTTTTTAAATCTTTGTTTTCTAGTCTAACCGGGAAGTTACGATTTAAAAGGAACACTAGAATATCTTTAATGAGGGAACTATGAAATTTTAAATATGACAAATTATAGTAACTAATGATAATGAAAAATATTAAATGGTTCCTTTTCACCTCCATGAAATCTAAAATATATCCTATTTTAATTTATTTATAAATTAAATACATCATATTACAGGGAAGTAATAATTAGTAAGATATCAGATAAAATTACCAACTGAAAGATTTCAGATGCTCCACATTGTTGGGCTTGAATTTCATCCAACAAAAAATTAACAGCAAACATTAATTTCCCAGATGGAGGAAGAGAACGGAAAGCTAATGATAAAGTCAAAATTTCAGTCCAGGTACTTTGCAATAATCTCATTTGGTTGTTCAAAGAAAGGTCAGTAAATCCTGAAATATAAAAATAATAAATTAGCAAAACAAAACACCATATATTTATTAATATCTAAAGCTAAAAGCTTAGAAATCTGTAATAGATTTGACACAGATAGCTAAATAATGAAAAGTTGAAAACTACTATTTATATAGTATTTATAAACAGACTAAATAAAACATAAACATCCAAAATATTGATTATTGAAAGCCAAATAAATTTTATGTTTTTATTTCACAGGAATTCCACTTGTATACTAATGTATAAATACTTTTCATTAACTAATTTTATTAGAATGAATATTTCTTTGCTCACTGGTCCCCCTTAACTTCCCTTCTGCATCACCAAAAGAAATCAGCTATAAATTAAACATCATAGAAGCCAATAAGTTCTGGGTGAAGATAATGAACATCCAATCGTCATTAAAAATTTGAGCAAAGAATCAATTCTGTTCGTAACAAAAAATTTTAGCTCCATATTCCACCTTCCTACTTCCTGGAAAACCATCAAATCATCCCAATACCCCCCCCCCAAAAAAAAAATAAACTGAATTCTAAAATGATAGGACAATGTGTTCAATATTCTCTCTAAAATATTATTAAAGAGAACAAACAAAGTCATATCCCTCAACACCCTCATGGATAAAGGACAGTTTGGGTTCAAAGGTCATTCTATAATAGCTTAGCCAGATTAACTAATTATGTCACTGAACGGTTTAATGAAAGGAGCATACTGGCATTATCTTAATGGACATCAAGAAAGCTTTCGACAAAATATGGTACAAACGGACTAGTGTACAAACTTATTAAACTCCATTTCCCAGACTACATTATACATTTCATCTAATCATGCCTTACCAGTAGTTCCTTCCTAATCAAAATTAACACTACTTCTTCATCAATTAATTTCCTATCAATGGGTCAACCTCAAAAGTTCTGTCTATCCCCAACTCTAATCTATCTAATTATCTATCTATCTATTTCTCTCTCTCTCTCTCTCTCTCTCTCTCTCTCTCTCTCTCTCTCTCTATATATATATATATATATATATATATATATATATATATATATATATATATATATATATATATATATATATACACATATACATATATTTGAAAGGTCCTTTATATAAATAAAAAAAGGCAAAATATTATTTACAATTCTCAACTAATAACAAGTTTAACAGATAAAGTATTTTCAAAAGGAAGGAGATGGTCCAGGGTTGTGGTCATAAAAAGGCGAAATAGTGATAAAACTATTTTATTGAAAGCCAAAGTTTCGACCCAACTTTGCAGGTCTTCATCAGGGCTAGAACGGACAAGATACAGAATTGTGGCAATTACATAATATTTAGACATAATTTATAAACAATGTGAATAAGCTTATTAGAATTATAAACAGTAATTACAATAAAATATGGACTAAGTAAGCTGAGTAACAGGATCCTAAACTAAAGTAAATAGATGCTAACAATTGTTGTAGTGTAATATACAACACCGATCCAATGTAGTTTACCGGATACCTTGCTCTACTCCTAAATTGGTGAAACCAAAAACTATCTTAAAACCCGCATTTCCCAACATAAAACGTCCATAATTTCTCGGAATCCTTCCGCCTCCAAACTATCAGAACATGCTTTAACACTCAATCACTCATTTGATTTTGAAAAAACCTCTATCCTTTCCACGGTCCCTAACCATGAAAAAAGACTCATTTCCGAATCTATCCACATTCACATGGAACACAATCTCATTAATCACAAAGTAAACAAAAACTGCATTTCTCTTACATATAGACACGTTTTAAGTCTTATAAGGGAAAAATAACTTAAATATTCTATTATATTATTTTCATCTACTCTCAATTTTTATTAATTAATTCATTTAATTGTTCATTATTCTAAATATTCCTTCTTTTTATGATCTCTCTTCTATTTTATTCTAAATTTACATTTACACTCTACACCAATGTATGATCACCTTTTTTTTTTTTTTTTTTTTTCCCCCACTTTGTATCAATTTTACTTATTAACCATGTCTCATTATCTAATATTCAAATGTAATTTTCTTACATATGTACAACCAAATATAATTATAAGTATTTTTTTTTCCCTCTCTATACTTTTAAGTTAGCTCTGCAATGTATGTATGTTAATGAAGTTATTTCTATATTTACATTTTACTTTTTACCAATTTTGGGTTTATTCACATTGTACTCTGATCTAGAATCATGAACTCACATCTCTCAACTCTATTTTATATGTATATTTATATATTTATAATTTAATATTGCATAGATATAATATTTTTCCATTGTATCCATCCATATCTTCAAAAATTCCTAGATACTGTACATTCCTGGGTTTTTCAATGTTTACTTAGTTAACACATGTTAACTTCCCCTATACCTGCAATCCTTACCGCTGCCTTTCCAGTTCTAAGTGAAACTCCTAGAGGAACACACCTGTAAGTCTCTAATTTTATTTTTCTCCTGTCGATTTTGTAGAATTATACTCACATTTTCATTTATTATATATTACACTACAACAATTGTTAGCATCTATTTACTTTAGTTTAGGATCCTGTTACTCAGCTTACTTAGTCCATATTTTATTGTACTTACTGTTTATAATTCTAATAAGCTTATTCACATTGTTTATAAATTATGTCTAAATATTATGTAATTGCCACAATTCTCTATCTTGTTGTATCTTGTCCGTTCTAGCCCTGATGAAGAGCTGCAAAGTCGGGTCGAAACGTTGGCTTTCAATAAAATAGTTTTACTACTATTTAGCCTTTTTATGACCGCAACCCCAGACCATCTCCTTCCTTTATGATGCAACGGTCAACTATTAAATATTCAATAAACTATTTTCTTATTTTTAAAAGGATATCACAATATCCTTGATCACGCCGTAAGACTTAAGCCCAAGCAGGAAGGAACACCAGGCCCAATTATTGCAAGATTTGTTAGACAGACGGTGAAAGATGAGTTAGTGCGGCAGCGAAGAACTAAGAGAGATTTCTCCACACGACATCTAGGCTGGGGTGAGAATGACTCTCACCGCGTATATGTAAGTGAAGCCATGACGCCCACCAACAAACACCTCTATTGGTTAGCCAGGCAGAAGAAATTGACTGCTAAAATAAAATATGTTTGGTTCAGTGGAGGGAAAATTCGCTGCAGAGAATCAGATCAATACCCACCGGTGATTATAGGAAAACTGAGTGACCTTGACGTATACAGCTGAACGTTGTTCACAAGTTACCCTGAGTTTGCATTTGATTTATTTTTTCTCACCAGAAATATTTTTACTTTATTTTTTTTTATCCTCAGGTTTTTTTACTTTAATATAAATGTAGCTTTTTTTATTTATACTGAAGCTCTTTTATTTTTTATACATTTATTTTTGCCAGAAATATTTTTACTTCATTTTTTTTTTATCTTCAGGTTTTTTTATTTTCATATAAATGTAGCTTTTTTATTTTTTTATTTATATTGAAGCTTTTTATTATTTTTGTATACATTTATTTTCGCCAGAAATATTTTTACTTTATTTTTTTTATCTTCAGGTTTTTTTATTTTTAAAGAAATGTATCTTTTTTAATTTTTTTATTCTAATTGAAGCTTTTTTTATTTTTGTATACTTTTATTCTCGACAGAAATATTTTGATTTTAATCTTTTTTACTTTCAGCATTCTTTATTTTTGTATAAATGATTTACAACTTTATTTGGTTATTTACCAAAATGTATCAATGTATTTAAAACAAGGGGATATTTATATTTTCTTATGCTATAAATTATATTTAACAGAATATTTATTTCGAAATATTGGAAATTCATTGCTTTCATATTAACTTTTATTTTATGTTTGCAATTTTTTAATATTTTTTTTTATTTTTATTATTTTTAAACGGAGTATTTGTTTAAAAAAATGTTATATCCTATCCTTTATCCTCGATCCTTTTCACCAAACCTCTGCTTCCCAACTCTACTATAATGACTAATATTCTGAATTCCTGTCACATCAACGCCCAATCCCTTATTGCACACTACGATGAATTCCAGAAATATTTCCTTGACAATTTTCACCACATAATAGCAGTATCTGAAACCTGGCTAAAACCTTTTATCCCATCCTCCCGGATTTCCTTACCAGATTACTCGTTCCTACGTCACGATAGATCGCATCGCAGGGGAGGTGGTGTCGGATTATATATCCATGACAGTCTTAAGGCCAATATCCTTCTACAGTCTCCTTATCATGATTTTCCTCACATAGAATACATGCTTGTTGAAATCTCCTCTCTTTCCTCTCCTCTGTTGTATGCCGTAGTTTACCGCCCTCCTCGTGTTCCATTTGACAACCTCTTTGAATCTTCCCTCATTAACCTGGTCTCCAACTACACCAATATTATTATTACCGGTGATTTTAATGTGAACATGCTTTCACAATCTCCCGAAAAATATTTCCTTACTGACCTGTTGTTTTCCCTTAATCTTCATCTTGTTCCTTATTCTCCTACCCATCACACGCAATTTTCCGATACTTGGTTAGATCTTTATATCTCTGACTCTCCCATCAAAATCCTTTCTTCTTCCCAACACCCAGTTCCATTTCTTTCATCACATGACCTGATCCAAATTACATACGACCTACCCGTACAATCCTTCACTCCCAAAATAGTTTCATACCGCAATTTAAACCTTCTTTCCTATGAATCCCTTCAACCAGACCTTAATTCTCTCCAATGGGACACCATATATTCATACAACTCCATTGATCCTATGGTATCCACCCTGACCTCAAACCTACAGTCCATATTAGAAATCCACGCTCCTCTGAAAACCAAATCCTTACGCCATCCCACTGTACCTTGGCTGACCCGTGAGATAAAGGAAATGATAAGGGGAAGAGATGCAGCAAGGCACAAATACCGTCGAACCCGTCTAGCTGTGGATTATGCGTCTTTCAAGGCGCTTCGCAATGGAACCCAATCCGCAGTCCGTCTTGCTAAAACCACCTACTTCCATAATGCCCTGTCCAATCCTCCCGACTCCAAATCTAAATGGAAAATATTCCGCAACCTATCCCTACCAGAGTCCATTAATCGTAGTTCCTTCTATCTTTCTCCAGATGATCTCAATAACCATTTCTTATCCTTTACTCACTCTTCCTCTCATACTTTCGATATTAAACATCACAAATTCAATCCTGAAGACTTCTTTTTCTCCCACGTGTCCTATGATGAATTACTTTCCACCATCCTAAAATCTCACAACAATGATTATGGTCCCGACAATATTCCTGTAATACTAATAAAATCCAGCCTTCCTGACCTTATTTCTGTTCTTTATCATATCTACAATTTTTCACTGCAGAACTCCATATTCCCATCCTAATGGAAAACCGCCCTAGTCCGACCTTTGAATAAAATTGCCAATCCTACCTCACTGCACGACTTCCGTCCTATTTCTCTCCTATCCAACCTCTCAAAGCCGCTAGAACGCCTTGTCTAAAATCAGCTCTCAAACTTCCTAGAGGAACCTTTATCAACCCATTCCAATCTGGCTTCCGACCCGGCTATTCAACGCAATCTGCTCTCCTTAAAATAACCCATGACCTACAAAACTCCATTGAACACTAAAACCTTACTATCCTCATCCTTCTAGATTTTTCCAAAGCGTTTGATACTATGAGCAGTTGACCATAACATCCTTCTTACCAAATTGCAAAATCTTCCTCTATCCAACAGTGTCCTGCGTTGGTTCAAATCCTTCCTTTCCAATCGATCCCAGTATGTAGTAGTCCCTGATCAACCTCCTTCAAACACACTTCCCCTCTCCTGTGGTGTCCCTCAGGGTTCCTCTCTCTCTCCTACTGTTTGCTATCTACATCAATGACCTTCCCCTCCAGATCTGTCACTCCCAATACCACATCTACGCAGATGATTTCCAAATATACCTTTCCTTTCCGCCCTCCGACCTATTATCTGCCACAGAAAAACTTCAAGAAGACTTAAATAGAATTTGTGACTGGGCAAGAACAAACAAGTTGAAGTTGAATGCGGATAAGACAAAGGCAATCTTAATAGGCTCCAATCACCTCCTTAAAACTGTCCCTACTATTCCAACTCCGTTCCTACATAATAACCCTATCAAATTTTACCCCACCATCAAAAATCTTGAAATAACCATTGATCAAACGCTTTCTTGGAAAAATCATATATCCAATATTTCCCGCCGTACCATTTCCATCCTAAAACGTCTTAATTACTCCCGTCACCTGTTTCCTTTTGAAACCCAAAGGCTCCTAGTCATTTCCTTAATTTTTCCCCACTTTGACTATTGCTGTACGGTATATGGGGGCCTCTCTGGGGATCTCGAGGCATCTCCGAGATCCTTCAATTCAAATCCTCTGTTCGTTCCCGCTCTTCTGATTTATACATAAGGGCCCACCGAACCGCTGCTTTCGACAAATCGTTCATTATCCGATCCTCATCTCTATGGAACTCCATCCCTTCCCATATCCATCAATCTAATACCCTTCCTACCTTTAAATCCCGCCTGTTCAATCATTTCTTATCCATCCAGTTCCCATAAAATCGTAAATAGATACTACTGAAAATATGTACATAAATTATTAGTTCATTCTTCATTATTTGCACTCCAACTTTTGTTTATCTATTCTTTTATTTCTTTTATTATCAACTGATCAAAATTGGAAAGCAACTTATATGTATATATGTGTGTATATATATATATATATATATATATATATATATATATATATATTTTTTTTTTTTTTTTTTTTAACCAAGACTGTTCAATTACTCTGTATTTTTATTTATGTATCTCTGAGGCTCCTTAGCACTCATTTCTGTCTTCCTGTATTATTCTAAAGGGACTCGTCCCAGAATAAATAAAGTATTATTATTATTATTATTAAAAAAATATATTATAATTCAAAGAGCATTACTACTTTCAAACTAACAAAACCTTACTACTGAAAAGATCATACAAACAAAAAACAAGATAAAAGGAAATTTGACCAAACCATGGCCTATTCATTAGAAATAATTGAAGGGTGAAGGGGATAAAGATAATAAGTAATATCTTTTGAGTTCTGAAAAAACTTAATTTAAATCACCTTTATCCATTGTAAGGCAGACATTTACCCTCACTTGGATTAACATCAACTGTGTTCTGAACCAAACATTGAATTCATATGCACAGAAGGAGGAAATATCACAGTTTTATTTCTCTATACTTTTATCCTTTGCAATAATTCAGTTTCCAAAAAAATACCATTTATTATCTTTATCAACTTGACTCTTCAATTAATTTTTAGTTTGTCTGTAAACATATTTCTCAGTCAATAATCTGGAGCTCCTCTTCATGGAGTAATGGTGTGTTTCCCATAGCTCAAATATCTGCCCATAAAATATTATTACGAAAGAAGGGTTTTGATTTGATCTTGATATATTTTTATTGTTAGCCCATAATAACTATTCAGCCATGTTTTCCCCTCAGAAAAACAAATATATTAAAAACGTATCTATTAAAAGGAAAATAAAAAAAAATCTTATTATATTAATCTGAGTCTGAGTTATAAAACATTATAACTATAATATATTATCACTTTTACCTGGAATTTGCTTAGCCCAACTTATAACATTCACAAGTTCCTTATCGTACAATTCAGAAAGAATATTTAATATTGAAACAGCTGTTGGAGAAAATTCTTTTTCAGGCAATGTTAGCACTTTTGGTTCAGAATTGATAAGAATTTCTAACATGCGATTTTCTGAGAGAAAACAAAATCATTATTAATATTTAATTATTAAAAATATTTTGAATTTATTAATTTTATACAGTAATTTTAGTATGATTCATAAACATAAGTTTATACAGGGTTAGTTACGGCTGCTGGGACAAGATAATTAATAATAGCTGTGTGGCGCTACTTTACCACAGATATGTATGTTATAGCAAGGTGTGTTATAGATTGATCTAGTTTAAAACAACCAAAATAATCAAATTTCCAGGAAGTCAACAAAATTTTTAACAATTCTGTTGAATTTAAACAAGACAATGAATTCATACTTTTCTTTGCATAACTCATGATTGCCAGGCAGGCTGAGGTGATGTCCCAGGAATAGTTAGTTTAGAGGATCTGTTAATATTTATTTCAGGACAATCATGAGAAATAAATGTTGATGATTCTACACTGCTCAGTACAGGGTGGCATCTCGTTGATAGTTGTCAGGAGTTGGTAATAAGGATCAAATGGCCCATTTGCGAGACTATTATCAATACAACAATCTTATCTTTTCTCAAGGCTGGCAAAAAGTCATTATGATAAAGTAGCATTTTAATTCAATTTTTTTTTTTTTTTTGTTCTCATAAGATTCTTATTTTTTATCGTATTCTAGCGTTACTAAAACTAATAAATATTTCCATGTCAACTTGTTGGAGTAAATAAATACATTTCTGTTGAAAGTTTTCAGTTTTGAAAAGTCTATATGGAATATTCAAAGTCAGCAGCTTTAACTTTAGAAAGAATAGAAATAGTAAATTTATTAATACAAGCATTAGATATTATTTAAGAAGTTAGTCAGGGGAAGGGAAGGAATGTGATCAAGAGTAACACATAATTATTAAACTAGTTGTTTTTGATGTAGGTCTGTCCACTATTAGAAAAAGAAAGACAACTTTTCTTCCGACATTAAAAGTAATGGTAATATAAATACATTGTGAAAGCTACAGATAAGACTAAATGTACATTTACCTTCCAATAATGAATTTTTGTTTTTTACAGAATATATTTCAGGGTTTCGTCTGTACTTTTGTCTTCCCCCCCTTACTCTGTCCAGTCTGACACCTTCTTTCAGCATTCCTTTCTGAAGACATTTCTGGAATCTACATGCTTGACAGGCTTTTCTCCTTCTTTTGTTAATCTCACAGTCATTTGCAGCAGGACATGTGTACTCAATATTACCTAAAACAATGAATGTAGAATATAAAATCAATAATTCATAATTTCATTTCAAATCAAGCAAACTGATACCCACCATTATAATTTGAGTAAATATATATATATATATATATATATATATATATATATATATATATATATATATATATATTTATATATATATATATATATATATATATATATATATATATATATATATACAACTTTTCTTTAATCGACCTTTGAGTATTAAATTTAAACATAATTATTTAATTATGAATAAGGTCACTCATTAATTATTCAATAAACTACTAAATGTTCATTGCTTCTGTGTTTATTCGACGTTCTGATCCCGTTTTTTTTATTTAAAGTTAACAATGCAATCCTCTTCAAAGTTTTAAAATAGAGCTTAAGATACCTCAGGCCAGGGACTCACCGACAGTCTCAGCACCATCCACCAGCACATATATTAAGCTACTCTTTAATGTGCTTAATTAAAACGTTTTTATTGTATATTACAGTAAAACATGGAGGAAATTATATTTATAATACGAATATAAATATTCATAGAGGATGGAATGGGGTTGATTTTGAATTTAAATTATTCGTTTGTTTTAAAATAAAGCTGATTAAATAATTTCATATCAATGTCTCACTTTCTTAAGAACCCAAGACTTAATTTTACAATATTCATTTTTAGGTTAAAAACTACATGACCAACCTAAAGCCAACAAATAATTTACTGTATTTATAAGTATACTCTGTAACATATATATAGAATCAAGTACTGATATAAGAATGCTATACAGCAATACTTTTTCTTCTTTGTCAGTAGTTTTCACATACACTTAAAACTTATGTAGTTAATGAAATACTTTTAACAAAGAAGAATTTTGTATCAAGCAGGATAGAATTTGGTTTTTAAACTGATAAATATGAAGTGTTGAAAATATTTTTTTGAAAAAAAAAAAGCATGTAAACAAATAAGAAAGTAATATCAAACTAAAAAAGGGGAATAGAAAAGTCTAGGATCTGTTTGATATGGTTAAAATAGTTAGGATTTCAAAACAAACAGGATCAGGAAGGATAACTCCATGATAATGGGAATTGAGTCTTTACTACTGTGTTCTGAAGGACAATACATTTTAGAAAAGTACTGGACACTTCAGACAAAGAAAAATCAGAGGACCATTATTAAACCAAATTAAATTAGGTAAATAGAGAGACTGAGACTATGTATTGAGTACCTAGTAAATAGTTGACCATCTAAGACAGAGCTGAGACAAGAAAATTCATTTAGGCAGATTGCGATGCCAAATGACAAATAGAAATAATGATATTACTAAGATAACATAAAGAATGATTATATAATAATAATTGAAAATGATAAAATTAACTATAAAAATAATCAAGTATAATACAAATATCTCTAATGAAAGTAAGAAAAAGACCAAGATTCAAGCTAAAGTGTATCACATATTTGGGAGAGTGTGACATAGGCTGTAATGATTTATAACAATATATAATTATTCATCCTTCTTCGTATATTTAATTTGACTGATGGCATAATGACTTCTTGGGGATTATGTTTATATTTTGTATCCTCAAGGGCAGGTCTCCGGGAATCTCTAACTTGATTCATTATCTAAAACTTCATAGATTCCTACTCTTGACAACAAATATGACATTGAGAATCATCAGCAAGGTGAAAATGGTGAATATGTGACCCATATGGTTCTTATCACTAAGAAAACTATTGATCAGAGTAACACCCTAAATATACTTGGATCATGTGAAGTACTCTGAATTCAGTAATAGATGATTATAAAAAGAAAGAAAAATGTAAAAGAATTAATCCTGACTACTCACGAAATACCACCACTAACTTAAGAAATTTCTTCTTTTCTTTTTTAATTACTAAAAAGTTAAAGTTAATAAATTTACAACTCCAAGTAAAGAAAATAAGTAAAGAGTCAAACCTGGATAACTAGAGTTCATGAGATCCGCGAGTTCTTTCAAGTTGCTCTATTTTCTGAAGTGTAAGTTCTCAATTCAGTAGGTCACAGAAATGTGAATATTCTTGGTAGCATATAGAATTTTGATTTTATTTTTTTTAAATAATTGTTTATGATTATTTATAGTTTTCCTTAATGCTTATCATTAACATTATATATAGTTCAAAACTTATTGTATTCATTTATAATAATATTGAAAGCATATCTTTTCACCTTATCATTAAAACACCATGGTTGATGAATAAATTATATAAACCTAAGAATGAGGATACATACTAAAATGTTTTTTTGAAATTATCTGAATTTTCGGATGATTTGGGAAAATTCCAGGACATTGAAATAATTATCATGAAAAACGTGACATATATTTTTCTTCCTGATGTTATGCAAGTTAAGATATTCTTTGACTTTTTAAAATCTGGTGGACACCATGAAGATTATGATTTGGTAAGTGCATCTTATTAAAGTAATCCACTCCTTAAGTTTTCAGTTCAACATAAAATTATCTTAATTTTTTAATAAAAATATAAAGTGTAATAGATGAAAATACAATTCTATGATCTGAAATAAAAATAAAAATAAATTAAATAAGTATTAAATTATACTCTATACTCTAGAAAAAAATTCAACTTATAAAAAAAATCTCCATAAAATAATCGAACAAATGTAAATTTATAAAATATATATTTTATGACTATAAAATGTTAAATTTATGGTCTCTAACTTGAAACTTTATGTTTTTAAAATGGGAGCCCATTGTTTTACTGCTTACGGCCCCCCGCTTGTTTTGATCCGCCCTAGTACTACAGAAAAACTATATGCCTCACTCATCCAGGTTTGACTATGCTGCGCAACATAAGAACTAAAACTGAAAACAATCTTATGAGTAACAATACTAAAAAATATTTTGGCCTTATCAAAACCAATTATTCAGCCATATAATAATGAGCAGATAATTTTCAAATAGAATTTATAAATACTCAATATTTACACCAATTCTGTGTGCGTGTGTGTTTATATTTAGGTTACAATTTAAAAATAATTTAAGTATCAGAACAACCTATATAACTGTTGATCTATCGTGATTTATGAGAATCCTTAAAAACAGCTTAGAACCAAATAATATTCTTCATCTCAGATATTCATATTTGGTGCTAATCCAAAAAAGAAATAAATATGTAGGAATATTTTTATTAAATAGTATTGATAGACCAATATAAAGGGTTACCCACTCTTAAGGATATAATTTTTACCAAAGCTTTAAAGATTGAACATCACCAATTGTACTCTTTTAACCTGGTAGTAGTTATTTATCAACAAAATTTACCTAAATATTCCTAATTTTCTGATGGGTGCCCCTTCATAAACCGATTTTCAGAATTTTGCCAGACTCCTAAGATGTTGATGATTTATGAAGCTAATGTTCCTATAAACCAAAACAAAACAAACAAAACCATGAATTATATTAGCAAGAAAAATGGTAATCAAAGTAAAAAGAATAATGTTAGAAAAAAAGAAGTGAATACTGCCTATTTCTTTGAACACTAATATTAAAAAAAAAATATATATATGAATCTAAAAGATATCAAAATCAGAAAAGTTTTCAATAGTTCACAATCGTAAACTAATTTTTGTAGATTTAATGATAATTTTTCAAAAAATAAATGAAAAAAGGTCATATTGATCACAAAATGGTAATATTTAATTCAGGGCATATAGGCATACAGAGTTATTAACTTGGTAAATAAATTAGGGATACTCAAAGGAAAAATACAAGAAAAAAAAAAACAAACAAGAAATACAAGATTAAGCTAAAAATAACAGTACCCCTACATCACCACAAAAGCATTATCAAGTGAAAAAATACACTACTAACAGTGAAATATTGACTGAAAAAACAACAAAATCTATGCCTAAGTAATTATAGATAACCAGAGAACCTATAATTAATGCTTAAGGCTAATTACAAATGTTTTTGGAGAACTTAAACATTAGCGTTACATAAATTATTATAATTTTTTTGTTTAAATCCTGCATGAATTTTGAGCCTGCATCAACACATCTACTTTGAATGAATCATAAGTAATACAGTAAACTTTTAAATAATATGGTAAATTTATTATAATGAATGAAGTAGAGTCATGCAATATTTATGTTTAGATGTTAAAAATGCCAAAATTAATAATTCCATATACATCAATGAGTTTCAAAACATGGGAGGAAGACTATGGTAAAAGTATCTCATTCTCAATCTTCTAGCATTCTGTAGCTCTGCTTGTCCAGCACTAGGCTTCTGCTATCTATTTTATCCCATAACTAATGTTGGTACCTCATATTTTAAAGTTTATTTATTCATTTGTTTTTTAAGATAATTATACCTAGGAGGCATCGGACAAATGATAGTTCCCATTCTCATAAATACTACTGATTTTCTGTTAAGAGAAGATTTAGTGTACCAATCCTTTAACAAGGTTAATTCAACATAGGATTCTACCTACTAGGTTGCCACACTCTCCTAATGTTCATTTATTAAGTCTAAATTTAATTATTAATGATATAATGCATAGTTATCACAAGATTTTATAAAGAATGATTAAACACAATATGTTAATAGCTAATAAGTGAACTTTATTCAAGAAACCATAAAAATATTTTATATCAAGCAAATTCTAATTTCTGCTGTTCCTAGTTTTGAGAACAATATAGTTGAATTTTCAACTGGTATACAATATGTTTTCAAATTAACATAAGAAATTAATGTTATAATTTGAATTTGAAAATACAATTCAACCCTTTATAACTACTTTAGCAGGAATTTGAAAACAAAGAATTAGTGAAACAGTTTCATGAACTTCTATTGAGTATCAACAAAAATTAATATTTACTTATAAAAAATAATATGGGGTAGCAGATATGGGGTGGGACATGGGGGTAGCAGATTGGGGAAATATTTGTCTCATTGTTCGCTGTGTCACCTAAAAGTGCACTCTTTGCATAATATTATATAAG